CCAGTTATCGACCATGTATTACTCTGTGCGGCGGCTATCCACCAACTAACTTAAATACTTACGACAAATAAACGGTAGGTGTTTGAATGAAGCTGTTTCTTATGCGAACACAAATCGATTTATCAAGTTTTATCTGCTAGGGTTATGAAAGTGTTTGGCTGAGTAGATCGCATCTCAATTTGACCTTTCCAGGCTCTGAAGAAGGCGAAACCGCCGAAACGTCAGCAATTGTGTTCTAATAAATTCTATATTAACAACCTCGTGTCTGCTTATTGATGAAAAACATTGAATTATCAATTAATGCCGAGGTTAACAGAAAGTCGGTCATGGGATGTTTTGAAAACTCCTTGTGGTAGTCGACACGATTTCCCATTCTTCGCTAATGTGCTGTTCAGAACATGGCTAGTAGAAGAAAATTCAAGTGTACTTTAGCCACTGTTAAGCAAAAAAATACTCGCTACTTGTTACTTTTCGTGTTGGTCACTTGTGTTCTCGAAAAGCTTTCACTATTTATGGCTGTACCATAACACTACCACTTTCTGCAGGTGATGCACTTTGAGACGGAAAGTGCAGGGGATTCATATTTGTTCTCAGCGCGTTCATTTTGATCTTATGGGCTTTCATTGAGCACTAAATCACAAACGATGTAGGGTTGTAAAACTTGCTTTGATTTATGATAAGTAATAGAATGTACTTTCTTTTCCAATTACCGCGACGGTCATGGTTATCAGATGCTGGATTGATAGGTATAAAAACGTATTGGAAAATACCAAAAGAAATTGTTGCGAGATCGATTGCTAACTGCCGACATCAGCATCGTTGAGTAAGGGGCGATTTATTCACATAACCACAAACCGTCTACAAAATTCACAGAAAAGTTGGAATGTAGAGCGAAAACTGCAAGAAAGGCTCTTTCTTAGTGCGCATTTTTCACCATATGCATTGAGTCCAATGCATATGCGCAGCAGAAAGGGAATCAGGCGTCATTACACCGAAGATGAGATGGCACCGTGAATCTGTTAAATTAGTTTAGGATTATTCGGTAACATGTTTCGAAAGATTTCTGATTTTTACTCCTTATCTTCTTTCCTTGCAGATTTGCTACCACCATTCCTTGCGCGTATCTCTCTAGTGGAGCTTATCATCGCCATTGCTATTGTTGTTCTAATCATAGCTGTGATGTTCGCCATTGTCGTAGTCTGCAGATGCTTGAGATTAAAGAGGTTTCATTTACTATACATATTTTTTTACTGTTTAATGTTATGGGCTTCAAACGAAATAAGCCAAACTTTTTTGTGGTGTGGCGACTGCTATAAATGTAGTCGAATTGGGAACTATTAGGTTTTCCTTGCTAAGAATCCAGACGTCACTTCATTTGCAGTGAAGATGTGAAATACGGTGAACATGTGCACTCTGTTCCCCATGTGCGTAATCCTCACATGGTTCCTCCAGTGGTAACAGCTCCACCACCTTTGCCTCCACGAGCTTTTCGCAGTGGAAATCAGATGATTTCAAATCTCGAACAAGCACAACTTACAGGACTTCCAACAGTGCAGGTATAATATTTATATGAACTTTTTCTTTAATATTTGTCAGGAAAATTCCTCTTAAGACACTACGGTAAAATTCAGGGCCGGAAAACCATTTTAGTATAACTGCTGTTTGAAACGATTAATAAAAAGAAGCAACTCTACTTATTCAAGGTGCGCCCACTTCCGCAACGTGAACAGTTTTCGTCAAGTGGGCGGGGTGATTCGCGTTCTCCTTCACTTGTTGGTTCTGGGAAGCAGTGGAAGCGCGCAGTGGATTACGGTAGTGCGGCAGATGACCTTGATGATGTGAGTCTGACTCTAAGGAGAAATTTGTTTGACAGTTTTTTTTCTCATTCTTGCTAAGATAATCTGTGATTATTAGTCGGTTCTTTCCATAATGAGAGCCTGTTCTGATTACGTCCTGATCACGTTCTTGAAAAACTACTAGTTCTACCGAACTAAAAGTTTCCTTAATCTCGGAAACGTTTTCCGGAACCTCTAAAGTTTAAATATCTGGGTGGTTTAAAAGACGATGACCTTGTACAGAGCGGCAAGACTTGTCAGATGGCATTCAACACTTTGGAAAAGTCGGAACTAAAAACAAAAAATTAAATTGTATAGTTTTGAGATAAAATGGATACTGAAAATCGCTTTCATTTTTAAAGCGGTCAGTTTTTTTTCTAGAACTTCCCCGTGCATACTACATACCAGAATTTTTCATAAACTACAAATTGTTGAATTCTTCGTTGAAAACCTTTCTCTGAACTTCGATAGCTTTTTTTATTGCTTGTTGCATGACCTGATATGACATGGATTCCCCTGTGCGAATGCCAGGAGTTCTTGTAATCCGGAAGGTATTTGAACATTTTCACATAACTTCGGCAACTGCTTGAGGATTTTTTTTTCGTCTTCATCATGAATGTTGAACGGCGGTCGAGGGCGTGTGCCCCGAAATCCTGAGATAGCCATGCTGGGATGTTCCCGCTTGTATTGAATGGAGCCTCCTTGTCGAAGACTAGTCTGTTCTAAGTTTCCCCGGAGAGGTGAGAGGTTTTGTTGGGGCGGAGCGGTGTAGAACTAGGACCTGAGTAGGTTGGCTCATCACGGAAATGATAAGGTTCATTTCCATGGCCTGACCCTGCCCTTGAACTTTAACACTGAGCGGGAAATGCCAGTTCCAACTCTTGTTTAGGTATAGGCCATTAGTGAACTGTACGTTATATCTACCATTTGATAAATGTACTCTAAATAACTTGTGACTTTTGTCGGTTGTTAAATAAATAACCGAATTTTTTGCTTTTGTCTTAATGTGCGCGGTGCCAAGATGGAGGCGGCTTTTATCTTCAGGTAAATCATGGCTCAAAGGGAATACTTTGTAACGATATGAATGGTCTGTTCCAGTCTGGACGTGATTTGCACGACACGGGTGCACTCGAGGCGTTACGTCGGTTCGGATTTCGAATTTCCGATGAGGGCGACTCTCCTAGTGGGAACAGTAATCGTGCCCGAGCCTATGGACGGTGTTCTGTTCTTACTAAAGATGCTCTTTCTTCAATTAATCAAGAGAGGTATATTTTATTTGGTTATTGTGACCATATAAAAATCCTAGAAATCTTGAAATTGGTAAAATAGTCCGGTAGTTCTTAGAACATTGTGGTCAGTAAAATTCATCTAAGAAAATAAGTAACTCCTCTGAAATGATTTGAGACAGATAAATAAACAAAGGATAAAGCACCGTTTTCTTGACGAGCAGACACGTAGTCGTTACTTTATTTTTTATTCACTAAGAACTCGACGTTTCGGCGAATTTCGCGTTCGTCAGAGCCAGAAAGGTCAAGTTAACCGCAATCTAGCCAGCGAAACGTCACGATAACCCAAAACAGAAAAAGCTATAAAACCAAGATTTTGGCTGATATGAAAACAAAATAAAGAAGAAAGCAAAAAGCAATATCTTCACAGAGTCAGCGTTTTCTACGAATTTTCCACGGATTCATTTGATGACCAACCGCATAAAATTCACATGGCAGCGTAATTTGTCTCTTTTGCATTAAAGTAACAGTCTTAAATATTGCATGAAATCGCGCTTGATAACGAGGCATTCCTCCTGGTGGTTGATCGCGCAGGAATTGAGACCTTCAGCGCGTAAAACTCTCGAAGCATTCTGGATAAGTTCGAAGGATCCGAAAATTAACTGCAGAGAGGAATTTCTCGTTATCATGCCTGATCCCACACAGTATTTTGGACTGCTATTTTAATGTGAGAGAGGTGCATTATCTATCCTTGTGAACACTGTGTGGTTCGTCTTCACGTGAAATACTCAGCGGAAGACTGATAGAAAGCGATGAGTTTGTGAAGAAGCTAATTTGTTTGTTGAATTTTTGGTTTTGTTTTTTTCTATCTTGGTTATGGGGTGGTTGACTGAGTAGATTGCAGTCAAATGGTCCTTACCAAGCTGTGAATGAGGCGAAATACGTCGAAACATTAGCTTTTTTCTTCAATGAAAAGTGAACAACAATCTCATGCTTGCTCATCTAGGAAGCAGTGATTTATATGATCAGTACTGAAGTTAATACGAAATTGGTCTTGGGAATTACTTCAAAAAGACTAAAGAGTTTACTAATGACTACTCTTTTAGGTATGTACGTTTGTTAGCCTATCAGGTAAATAAATATCTGAGTAAAAAAGACTCGATCTCTTATTTTTAGGTTTTTTAGTGACAGTAATTCCTAAAAAGAGCTCTGAAATTAGTTCTTTGTTTTATTGTAGTTCAGGAACCTGTTGTTGCAGGACTCCTTTGGCGGATTCGATTCAATGCCTGCCAACGACGGAGGAAGATGAAGGTGGTGAGAAGTGGGGTGACGGAGTCGATCGCATCGGCGCTGCTATACAAACGGAAAGGTTGAGGTGATTTTTGTTAGAAATTTAACAGAATTGCGAAGTTCAAGATTATTATTCTATCATACTTTGGACGTTAAAGTTACTTATCATGATTTAAGTTACTTTTTTCTAGGATTGAGTCATTAACTGGTCGTGTGAAGGTTGGAAAAACAGTGTTGAGTCCAGTAGTCAACGATGACGACTACATGACGATGCGACCTCGTCGGAATATCACCACCTCGAATGAGTCGCAGCGTCAACCTCTTTTAGATAACGGTGACGATAGCGACGGTAAGTCATTCTTACATCGTTGTTCTTCCATTGGCTTGCTTGTATCTAGACAGATTTCCTACTTTTTTTTATAAAATTGATAGCAAAGTCGATATCATTTTTACAATTTTTAGGTCTAGATGAATTTCTATCCAGTAGTGCTCCTCCGCCACCTAGTCATAAGAATATTTTCAACTCTCGGGTTTACGACGATCCTCCGGATCGAGGAGGCGATACGGTTTCATTTGATACTTCTGCCGCAATTTGCGACATCGATGCTAGTGATGCTGAAGACTTGCCTGTCGATTCTGTATTATGATTGTTTTCATCCTGTTATTATATTCTTTGCCATTCTATCTTTCCTGGTAACTACACTGCTACCCTGTGATTTTTGCGGGCACTTTTTGGTTGTTCGAGTTCTAATAATTTATTGTTTTTTGTGCTTTGCTTTTTTCTAGTTTTCGCCTATGTTTTCGCCAGGAGTGATTCCTGCCATTCGTTTACTTGTATCCGAGCTTTCATTTGGAGATGTTGAATTTCTTCGTTTGTGAGAAGTTGTTGGGAGTTTAGTCGTCGCTGAACATCACGGTTCGACATCTTGGAGCACCGCAGTATTTGACGATTGAGGTGATGCTTTCGCTGTATTAGCTTACCAGTTCAAGTTTTATAGATGCTATTACCTATGCGTTTTATTTAGCCCTTATATTTAAAAGATTCATATTAAGAATGCAGGCATAATTTTCATCATTGTTAAGTTCTCAACTTGCAACTGCATGAATACTGCGTTGTACGAGATTACAGGTATGTATCATAGATGACCTCATAACAACCACTTCATAATTGTTGGTATTATTTTGAAATCGTTATCTTTCATCTAATAAATGGTTCGATTTTCTATCGTATACGCCACTCATCTCAGTTCATGACTCCAAGAAACAAGCGAGAAATGCATGTTTACTTGATCCACTCGGCTTGGAAAAGTAGTCGAGGTTTCCCATCAAAATTAAACAAACTTCCAAAAAACTGTGGTCGATCCATTACATCTTGCCTCTACTTCTAACAATATATTCTTTTGGAATCTACTCGAAAAAAGCCACTTTTCAAATGTTAATGAGTAAACCGTCGCCAGATAAGTTCTTCATTGAATATTTATCAGATTATGGGCAACGGAGGCAACATGTAAAGGTTTAGATTACAAACATCGGATTGTGTCAGATCAGCATAGGACGAGGAGTACTGACACAACTGACGATCACTAAACCGGGAATTTAGGAGCCGTATGCGTTCTTTAAGGATTCGATTTACTGGCATTACTGCTTGTTTAAGCTGAAATAACTTAAAACTTTTATATTCTTATTGAGCAAACACGAGACATTATATTATTTCTCTATTTACGAACAGGCTGACGTTTCGGCGGATTTTGCCTTCCTGAGGAACTGGGATAGTCAACTTGACCGTAATCTACCTAGCGAAATACCTCCATAACCGTAAACTGAGAAAATGCAAAGCAAAATTTCAATCACATTGAACACAGAATGGCCTCTTTGCACATTTACCGCCTTCTATGAGTCTTTAGCTGAATATCTGACGTGGAGACTACACGTCATCCGTATGTCTTCCACGTAAACTCCGTGGTTTTCAGCATTTTTTTTGTTTGGTTATGGAGGTGTTTGGCTTTGTAGGTGGTGGTCAACTTGACCTTTCCAGGTTCTGAGGAAGGCGAAATCAGCCGAAACGCCAATTTGTTCGTAAATAAAGAAATAATATAACACCTCGTGTTTGCTCAACAAGAATATAAAGAATGGTCCGATCAATGCCGAGGTTAATAGAAAGTCGGTCGTAAGAATAACTCGAGACTTTTTGTGCACCTTGCCATATTAGCTTATCATATTCATGTGTAGGTTACTAAATGCCTTTACGTGTATGCAAGTTGGATCCTACCACGTTGTATCGCCTAAAATTCTACGTTGATGAGAATGGCATGCTCATGCGCACTCATAGGCACTCATAGGTTTAGCCTACAACAAATGAACTCCACGTTCAATTCGGAAAAGCGTGGTCAGTCACTCATATGTTCAGGCCATACTGCTCTACCTGGTTTTCGTTAAAAGAAAAGCGTTGGGTACAGAGATGTCGCTAACAGTTGAAAGACTATGCTGAGAATCTATGTTTACAACACATGATATCATTAGAAGCTAACATTGACAAATAGACCTATTGTCTACTCTACGTGTTACCTTTAGTCAGCAAACTCTTTACTTAAAAGATTCTCGACAAGAATGATTGACCACTACACGATGTGTAGCCATACGAGCAAGAAAGGCTTAGGACGGGCTCAATGGGATAAATTCTATTCTAAACGAAAATCAAGTAAATTTCGAAGCAGTATGAAATCCCACTTTGCCATGTCTTTATCGATGTAGAGTAGGGATCTAGTTTTCCTAAGAGGAGCAGGTGATTTTGGATGCTATAGGTTACCAGGAGACCCTTGGTATAAAAAAAAAGGCTATGCAACAACATAGCTTTCAGAACTTTGTGATTGCTGGAAGGATATCATCAGAGAGGCAACGAAAGCCCAAAAACTACGACAAGGTGATGGCAACTTGCCGTCTTGTCAGAAAAAAAGACGGAATGGGAGACATCTACACCGTCTTCACTTCGTTTTTGACATCGTTTTTATAAGATAGAGAGTTAGCTGGAAAAAGCAAATACTTTTGCATCTCGTTGCCATATGCAGAAGTCGGTCTTCGATTTTCATGTAAGACAAACTTTTCTTGATGTCCCATTCACCGTCAACGAAAAGAATATCCCCGATTGGTCGAATTCCGTTCATCTGAATGGAGAACCCAACAAGGTGGAAAAGCAGTGCCAGAGCTGAGCTGCAGGATACGAGCTGTTTGGGGAGCTTCAAAATGGAGCACTGGAAAAAACCGACTACCTTGTTACCTTTTCGATCTACAAATTTTTTCAACCTGACGTGACTCTCAGAAACCTGGACACCACCAAGAAACGATAGCAGATCATTCCATGTCATGAAACTGGAGCATTCAAGAGGGTGATGTTAGGTGTAGCACCCTAATAAGAGAAGAAAACCAGAATTCCGATCTATATCAACGTTAGAAAGTTGAGAGCACCGTTGCTTGCACTACAATTTCGTAAATCAGATGACGTAGAGACGTGTCGCATCCTAACAACAATTTTTAGCGACATCGATCAGCAAAAATTTAAGCTTGCAACAACAGAACAAACTTCTCAGATTTAACTTTAATGATGCTGAGATATTTGCAAAACTCCAGACCGCAGGTATCTGCGGTGGGGAACGAACGCGCTATTGTCCTTTCTGGGGAGTAACGTATTCACCACCAAACTATGCGGGTCCTTCCTTCCGTGTGTCTCTCAGCTAGTTCTATTGATCTTTTGCCATCAGCAATCACCCGTCAGCGGGATTGAAGTTATATTTCGCAATATGTACCCTACCGTTAAAAAGAGCAGGCAGTAAATAATAAGTTAAAATTGTGATTATAACTGCAGCCTCAGCTTAACTGGGTTCGTTGCCGATTTAGGCTACCCAGATCAATCCCGCTGACGGGTGATTTTCGATGGCAAAAGGTCAATAGAACTAGCTGAGAGACGCGCAGAACGAAGGACCCGCATAGTGTGGTGGTGACCGCGTTACTCCCCCTAAAGGACAATAGCGCGTTCGTTCCCCAACGCAGACACCTGCGCTCCGGAGTTTTGCAAATATCTCAGCGTCATTAAAGTTATATTTCGCTATATATACCCTGCCGTTAAAAAGAGTAGGCAGTAAATAATTAGTTAAAATTTTCAGATTTTCCCACAAAAGTCATAAACAGGAGGTAGGACGCTGTTCATGTTCGAGTGAGGAGATCCCCTAGGAAAGCTTTGGTGAAACCTCAAGGACTTATGAACGGCTTACTGCTGTCCACTCGGATCTCTAGGCAATCAACAAGAGCGCAAATGATCCAAATGTAGTTTTCATGCTTTCCTGCAAGCGTTAAGTCGGAAAAGAAGGCCTCTGCCTAATCCTAACACCGTTCCAAGTAATGAAAAAATTGAATAGCATATTTAGAAAATGTGATTTCGTGATATGGTAGTTATCCTTCGCTCCTCCATTTTCACTTCAGATGCTCTTCCACAGACGTTTATTTCCTTCTTATCGTCGAAGATCATACTGAAAATGAGATTTAATGTTTAATCTAATCGGTTTCCCTCCAACGACTTACTTCCATTTAACTACTATAATCGTTATCGAAGACGAATTTTTAATGCTCGCAACGAATTCTGCCCGCAGTTTTCGTATGTAAACAAATTGAAGTGTTTCTTCGCTTGGCATTAGCACTGAAAACTCCATTGGAAATAAAAACTAATCTGGACCAAAAGCTTCTTGTTGGTCTTCGACAATAAACCCTTACTACTGGAAAGTTCTTTAGAATGAAAAGTGCTACAAAGCCACTTATTCTTAAATGCATTTGAATGCGAAACTATTTCCAGACTCTATTTGGGCCACATTAGTTCGCTGCATACAGTGGTTAGGGATGCATGCAATATATACACATGATCGTTGACCCAACCGCACGTTCTAGGATTAGCCCACGATACCTTCGAGGTAGAGTAATTGATACGAGACTTATCTAAGAGCAAAAAACACTGAATTGATGCATCGATAAGCCACTAAATGACATTGCGCAGACCAGCTATCTATTCGCTCACCTCTATAATGCCACGAATGAAGTCAGATCCACGGCGCACCCGACAGGGATTCATCAACGCCGAACGCTTCATCCCTTACATTAGGTATAGGGTTTCTTTTATAAGCTAGTCCCATATTTTGCAGAAAAAATTGATTTTTCACAATTTGTTCTCACGTTATGATCTTTGTCTTGACAAAATTCTCACCAATGTTTCGTTATGGATGGATAAGCCGTTGCGAAATGCTCGTTGAGTTCTAAAGCGGATAGCGCCTGAGAATCACCGATGGCTTGCTGCTACATGGAAAACGTTTGAAATTTTACTAAAGCATCCACAAACATGCAGATATTATGTATTATTCTATATTATGAAGAACACTAGACGCTCATAGTTCTGTTTTTTTCTAACTTTCTGCAGACGTTAATGGGGCATAGGAAGGAATTCTCTTCAAGAGATTTTTGATCCACTCTACTAGTTGAGCTTTCGCTTCCAGAAATTTCCAATTTGCCACTAGTTCTCAATGTAACTATTATTTCTAATTTGGATACAACATCAATTATCCCGTGATCTTCATGTCGCTATTCTCAGAAACTGAAAACAACCCATTTC